CGGCCACCAGGCGCTCGCATTCGAGTCTCTATATAATGTGGTTCAAAATATCAAAAATATTTGGACTGAAAAAGCAGAAGATTGTTCTCACAGTACGCCCAGGGGACCCAGGTGCACCTCTCCCAAAGCCTGGTACTCCAGGATCACCTCTGGTCCCATTACAACCGTCTAGTCCTGGTAAGCCTCTGCCACCCTGCTGACCGGGATGACCCTACAGAGGAAACAATAGTAGATAGTAAATAGTACCTATCTATAGTTATATCTATACACCTGTACAGTTGTATGCACTTCAGCACTTCCGCCTTAACAATTGTGTTTATGAAGCTCAAAATGTTTACATTTTTGGAGAAATTGTCATAAATGTATAAATTCAGTTATATGTTTTTGATTGAGGCCATAGTTACTGGACTACATTATATTCAGAGGTGTCTGTATTCTCCTCCCCAGCTACATACATGAGATAAGTAATATTAATTATTATTATTATTTTATGTCAATTGCACAAAATTCGATAGGAAATCATTTAATAAACCTTTTTTTACATTCATTATTGTATTTCATGCAAACATTTTTTCCAAACATGATGATACTGAAAAATAAAACATGTGGGGCAAATGCTGGACCCCTTATTCATTTAATGTATATAAAAAAAGTTGAAATTTAAATACATAATGCTCTCAAATAAATTTTAATCTTCATATTTGACCAGTATCTATTTATGTGTGCATACATAAAATATATACATGCATATACACAATTACATGCATTTTACAATTATTTTATTGTAATATAATGTCTACAAACTCGGTGTGTGCAGAATGGTGAGATCTACAACTGCATTTAGCTAATGACAAAAAAAGATGAGCCTTCATTACTAAACCTATTTAAAATCAGTAATGATAAAATAAACAATATATTGACATTATACAGTCCAGGTGTCATGGCTGACCTATAGTGGGTTTACGTTTACTCACATTACTCAAAATGGCCTTAGAAGTTTTATTATAATTAATGTAATCACATCTCACTATATGTGCTGCTGTCACAGAAATCATATCTGACCTTTGATTGTGCAGAGGCAAACCGACTAGTTACCCCCACCCCCATCTTACTTACAGGTACTCCATCATTTCCTGGGAACCCTGGCACTCCCATCGGTCCCTGCATAAATTAAAAACAATTAATTATCAAGAATTTAATTGTCACAGTTACAATTACATAATCATTTTAGTAATTAATATGAATTTATATCAGCATTTCAAGCTGAATACTGAATGTCAGGTATTTTGAAAAACAATATATGAACCGTGTGAGGATCTATAGCACCCACTTTGTCTCCTTTGACACCAGATGGTCCTTTAAGTCCAAAGTGGCCCTTCTCTCCTTTAGGCCCTGGAGGCCCTGGGCTCCCACGTGGCCCTTCTGGTCCGCTCTGACCAGCTTCGCCGAGAAGCCCCGGACGTCCCTGAGCGAAGGGAAACCAGAGAAGACATGGTCACTTTTAAAGACATGAAGCTGTGTGATGTACAAAACTGTAAACCTAAAAACTAAAACTGAAAACCCATGAGGCTCCTTTTGCAGTTAATTTGTTAGAATATAAGGCCTTACTGTAGACATCAAACTGTTATTTCAGTGTCAGCGTTGTCAAATACTTTTAATGAATGAGATTGAAAGTTTATTTCTAACTTTCAAAACAGTAGCTGGCAAAATTATCACCACCTGTTTGCCTCAGATTTCAGGTGATTCAGTCTCTCATATTTCAAATGGAAGTGACCTGCCTTTGACACATATAAGCCTCTTATATATTATCAACTTTATATCTGAGTAAATGTAGGGTCTTCATGTCCACCATTCTTTCTGTCCTTTCATCACCATCTTCAGTTACACACCACCATCAACCTGATGAGGGAGCTTCTGAGCCGGAGTAACACACCATTGTGCCTTTGTGTACTGGTGTGTTTGCAAGAGATGAAAAAAAGTAAACCCAGCTGTGAGTTTTATTTTTTCTCTCTGTCATGAAGGGATGTTAACACGTGAGTGTGCCACACAATCCCAAACCTCAGAGGACTGGTGCTTCGTGTGGGCATGCAGTGGCATGCAGACTTAGAAGGTGGTCTAGAAGACGAACATATGTAGATTACTGTAGACAATCACAGGAAAATGTTTTATTTTTTTGGAATTAAATGTATGATATGTTTTAAAGTATTAACGTTTTGGTCTATTTAAGGGAAAATTTTGGTTTTAAAGAGCGCAAAATCCTTTCTAAAGACTTTATTATTCTCTATGAATATGCATGTACTGCAGCTAACAACCTGCACTACCCAACTGTAACCACATGATGACAGCAAAAAACCAAAGACAAAGCATATGCAGGGGAGTCTGTGTTCATTTAGATGTGGATGGAAGAACAGGCCAAAGGAATCCTGTTAATCCTCTGTTAATAGGCAGGTTAACATGAATGTACACACACATTTACACCACTGGTAAAACTACTGGCAACCTGCCATTACTTCATATCTTATGCAGTATAATGGGGTAGAGAGAGAGAGGAGAAGGGTGGAGAGAGGGACAGATGTCTGTGTCAGAGGATTTTATCTGATTTGAAAAACTGGCTCAGACAGTTTTGTCTGAATCTATTTTTTTCCACTTGAGGTGACAACATAGATTGATATCTTTTCTATGGCACATTAATGCAGTACAGTATATGCTCATGCCCAGAGGTTGCACACCCTTCATTACACACAAGGTAAAGGTTCACACACTCCTCAATTATTTCCAATCACACATACAGACACAAATACAAAAAGAAAGGTAATTCCCCCCCCCCATATCTGATCCTAGTATCTGTGTAGATACAACCATGTTGTGATGAGAAACGCGGTCTGAACGTGGCCCTAGTGTACGGGCTTTCTGTTTTCAAGATAGAGTCTGAGTTTGTGAAAGTTTTAGATATTCTATGCCAATGGAACAGAACCATGTAATACTCTATGTATCAGATGTGACAGCATGCACAAGCAAAGCTAACTTTATGTATCTGGATGCATTAATGTCACCAAGACAAAATTTCATGCACTTGGCACTTGACAATGATCCTACATTAGCCTTGACCACAGCATGTGTCTACTTGAGAGGCTGCTGCTCTGTTTCCAACCCATGTGGCCTCAGGGCGGACAGGTAACAGTAATGACAGGGCTGTGCCAGGTAAAGGCAGCCTGCCAGAGCTGGTCTGGCTCACAGCTCACACTTACACCTGGTTTCACCCAGAGAAAATATGCAGGGGAACCAGCCTCAAGTGGCCATTTGAGGAACTGTAGGTTTTGACAATTCTGTATTGGCTTCATTCCTCAGCCTTAGAGGTTGATGCTTGATAAATACAAACAAGATATTCAGTCTTCTTTCATCTCTGGTTGGGTCTCCACCACCAGAAATCTGTTTTTAAGCTACTAAATATTCCAGTATGTTTACCAGCTAATTCACCAGCTAGAGATTTTATAGCCCTGTATGAGTGTTGATGCTTAGTGATAAAGGAGTAAACTAAACAAACTAAAAGAGGCTGGAAAGCTGCACAGTCGGCTGGCTTTGTGGGGTTATTACTACGAGCAAACCTTTTCACACTCCACCCAGTCATTTAACAGGTATAAACGTCTCCTGACAGTCCCACCACAGACGACCTCATCTGTTTTCATGTCAGCCCACTGGGTCTCCAGCTGGCTCTTCTAGACCTTCTGTCCTCATCACCTTCCAGCAGACTGGTCAGTTTGTAGGCCCAAATCCCCTCCAGCACAAAGGGTATAATGAAGCCTATTCTAGGCCACTAAGCTCTCTGGACTTACTGCTCCCATTGGGCCGACCTCACTTCCTGATGGAGAAGAGCCGCTTGGACAAACAAATTCTAGCCACCATGTGTGTGAAAAATGACGTGTGTGTATTGTTCTCGTACAAACATGAACACAGACACGCATGCACCCTCACTGCTCTCTGAGGCTTATCAGGAAGCATTGTTCTGAGGGCTGGGTGTGCTGGGGGGAAGATTTTAACTGTCACACCACATATTCCCTGCAGAACTGTGACGGGAGCAACGTGGAGGCAGAAGCTGGCAAACGCCAGGGTCTTTGGTTTAATCAGCGAGGCAGTCTGAAGGCCCAGTTTGAGCCACGTGAACACAGGAATCGGCAGAACCTCAAACACCCTCAACAAAAAGGCAGAGTGATGGATACAAAATGTGCTCAAAGAGCAGCAGTTTGGATAGTGTTTAAGATGAAGCAACTGAAAACACTAACTAAAAAGTCAGCAGCTCTTACAGACATCTACACAAACACACAGGCAAGAGAAAGAGGGACGTCCTCTCTAGATGGGAATGTTTAGGTTCCTTTCCCATTCAGTGATCAGACCATGAACCCAAACACCTTTGTTAATCTCAGACATGTTTTTTTTCTGCTCAGGATAAGTGATGATACAACAAACAAAGATAGGGAGGGTACAAACTGAGAGCCTCATTAACTCCCATACAGCTACCTAAGAAGGAAAATGTGTTATCTCAGACAGTGACACATTAAAGACATCAAGCTGGGGGCACCATGGATGCAACTACACCTGCAGTACATTTTATTTTGTGTCCTTTTTCCCCATTTGAGCTATTTAGGTTCAGGTTGTCACACAAAAGTAACTGGGTTATTGGACAGAGTTTTGTTAATGTTACTTTCACAGTAGGTTTGTGACCTTTGTCTTGTGAGCATCTATGTTGTAACATAAAGAGGCGACTGAAATGCAAACTATAGCGCTTCACATCTAGCTCATTTGGCCTGTCTAAACATAAAAAACAACACTCTTGACTTTGAACAAACTGCTTCAAACACTTTTAGAGTTACTCTTGACTTCCTGGGTGACTCAGTGTTTAGGTACTGACCTTTCCAGGCGCACATGTATCATATAGCACTTTTCCAAACAGCTGTGACAAAGTGCTTCCCAAAGCCTAAGAAATATATTCAAACTATCACACAATAATAGAACGAGTTAAATTCCAAATACAGTATGTAGCAGCAAATACAATAATTAAAGTGACTTTAAACACAACAAAATAATTTAATAATCAAGGATATAATGAGAATGTTGTGGCATGTCAACACTGGATCAAGGACGATGCTCTGTCCTGTTGTGTCGACAAGATGCCACCTGTTCTTGTTGGCGTATTTAACTACTATGACTCACCCAACAAAAAACGATCTTAAACCTCATCAACCAAAAACACAACCGGTGTAGAAACACTATACAACAATGTGTGCAAAACACTGCTACCCTTTAGATGAACCGATCAAACTCCCATCACATGTGAATCAGTTTGATGGCAGAGAATCGCTACAGTTTTCCAGCAGCACAGTCTGTTCTTCTTCTCTCTCTTCCACAGATGGTATGTTTTTCCTGTCTGCGTGCTCCCCACGCAGATTCCCACCCCTCTCCTCTGTACCTCTGATTCATCTGTTTGTGGTGATGGATACCATTAACAAAAACAACCTTTTCATCCAGGTGCTTTCCCATCCCATTATCAGTCAGCTGGCTCCGCCGTCCCATGGAGATGATGCCATAACGTTGTGGTGTTTTCTCAGCTGACAGACAGTAAGTGAGAAACAGCACAAGGAGGAAGAGGATAAAATGAAACTAATACTTCCTAGATTGGCATGTTTACAAGTTGATGTTATTTGAATGTCCACTATTATGATCCTTAGCAAGCAAAGCTAAAATACTAACTAGGGCTTCTTTTCTCATGAAAGAACCAAAGTCTCCAACAGTACATAATACACAGTCTTAAAAAAAATTACTAAATGTGCACTTGGGACAAGGACTTTACACCCCAGTGAGTACACCTTAAAAACAGCAGATGCAACTGGCCTGTAGTGCTCATTTATATCTTTAAGGCCTTTAAAAACATCATACAGATGTGGCTGTTGAGGTTGAGGCATATAAAGGTGTTTGGTGACAGCTCAAAAATCAGTTACTGTAACATCTGGGCCAGACTGCTGCTGGGACTTATACAACTGTGGACAAAAACGGTCCCTGTTACTCCCCACACTCTGTACTTAAGATGTCAACTTGATTTGGGAACTGTCAAGTGGCAGGCCTGGTATCAGTTAAAGAATAATAATAATAACTAAAAAGAGCGTGAGCAGCAGAGGAGTTACGAGATGGAGAGTGGTGAAAGAAGCATCCCATATGGAGATAAAGAGCGTGTGATGACAAGAAGACTAATGACTGGATCTCATTAGTATCATTGAGAATAAAATGAAGCACATGGGGTTGAGATGGTGGAAAAGAAAAGAAGACATCTGTGTATTTTCAGATACAAGAGTACTCAAGAGCCATGTTATCAGTTCCTCTTCATGAGCTAATGATTTGGTTTGACCTGCTCAGTATAATATACTGCTAATACTGACTTTTGAGGAACTTTGCTCTTTAGACTGCTGAAGATGATCACAGGTCACATTGGCATTTATACCACCACAGCGGACCTGTTTGGGGTCAGCCCAGTGCAGGGCATGAAAGAATCTCTTCAGGACTGCGCATGCCAGCTCTTAGAGGGCAAAGCCTATATGAAATAGAAGTTAAAAGAAAGCAGATGTTGAACTTAAATGAATTTGTCAAACTACTGTTTCCAAAACAATTTAAAAACCAAGCTAGAAATACACTTAACAGCATAGACTGACCAAACCACAACTACAGATATTCGCTTTTTAGATTTACACAACATTACATATGCTGATTTGCATCCTCTAGTAATTCAGTGCCACATGCAGCAGCATCATATAGCGTAGGCTGAACTAAATGCATCTAATCTGAACACTGTAATGGAGGTGCACAACACTTTCTGCTAAGGAACCCACATGACAGTCCATGTCAAGATCTACTTCAGGCTCCTGTATGTTCCTGAAGGAGACATATGAGGGCAGTAGAAGCTACAGTATCAGAAGCTGCAGCAACAGGTCTTTCATGTCAAAGGCCCACCTTTAATATGAATTTCTTCTACTCTGGTTCTAGCTCTCCTTTTAACTCTTACACTATACAAAGAACAACCTTGGTGACAGTGAAATCAGTGCCTCAATTTGCTGTTTGATGCTCATTTTATCCCCTTTCTTTTTCTGTACAACACATCTTTAGTATTTTATCTTTTCCTTTAAATGTGACAAAGGTTATTAAATAAGAATGTCAAAGGACCAAATAGATAAAAGAAGCTGACAGTAATGAGAACAGAGGAATGAAAAGACGGTGGCAAACACACACTTGGCCCCCTCTGTCTCTGAGTTTCTGATCCTGGTGCCCCTGACCGTCTGGTCTGCCCTCGCTTTTGTGTAGGGTGTGACCTTTAACCTTTCCTAGTGAGGATCTGGGCTTGCTATGTGTGGTGTGTGTGTGTGTGTGTGTGTGTGTGTGTGTGTGTGTGTGTGTCCTGCATGTGCATTTAAAAGAATTCAAAAAGGAGAGTTCAAAGCTAAAACACCATACAAACTCAACTGTGTTGGGTCCAGGTCAGGTTTGGATGCCACATTCTCCGGCACAAGTTGGGTTCAGTAAGATAGGAGGATAAGAAACTACTGCATGGTTTGCCAACTTCAGGACAGTGTGGCCAAATCTCTGTCAGTGTACATCATCCAAATCGCCCAACCCTACCTTCATCAGCATTGTAACATATTCAGCTGGGTGATGAAGGCAGACTCTGTCTAATGGTGCTGGACACACAACTAAAAATTTCAGGAGATTGCCCGCCAGTCGACTATACCTTCAGTTTGGTGTAGCCTTGATTAAGCCATTCGCCGCCTGTCTGGCAACTTGTTCTGACTGACACCAATGGAGGTCTGACAAAATTAAATAAAGCCCACACTTCCTGATCCCTCTGAAACTTTCTAGTGTGTTAACCCCAGCATTGCTTTGAACACACACACACACACACTGTCCTGTCATCTCTAACACTGACCACCGACCCTCAGGATTTACCCAGTGGGAGAGGATGTTATTGGACTTAATGGATTCAATATGACACAGAACCTAAAGCCAGGAAAGACAAAGGTAAAGAGTCTTGGGACTTTAGGTCCCGGTACAAGTAAAACTGAAGCCCTTTGGCTATTAATCCTGAAAAACAACAAATAGGACATTATTAGAGAGGGCATTATTACTAGCTTGTTTACATGCCACATTTGTTTTCTGGAGGAAACATGTTCCGGACGGCAATACCTCCAAAAACAGGAAGAACAATTTGCTTTATCTAAAGGATGGACTGATGTTGTTTATATTTAAGAAATATGCTGCAAAAAGTCGAGGCTTTTCTTTTTAAGAAAACCGCACTTAAATCAGTTTATCAGCTTCCAAATGAAGATAATAATGATGAGACAGACTCAGAGAGGAACTTAAACATGACTGTACACTGATGGAGATAAACAGGAACATTAAATCATGTACATACAATTGAGGTTGCTAATGTACAGTACTTGTACTTTCTGACCACCAGTTTATTTGTATTCTACAAAGTATTGGAAGATTAATTGATTATAAAATAAATAAAAAAGGATAATTACTGTTTTCTGTAGATTCTTCTTTTAAAGTGAAATAAAATCTGTGGTTCCTATGGACTTGTGATGTATATCTGACTTCTGTCAATAACACATCATAGACACCTAGTGCTGAAAGGAAACCAGGGAGGAGGAAACCGGGGAGGATTGAGCCGCTGTCGCACATAAACACTGACCTGAACTACTTTCAATCTGTGAACTGTAGGATGGTTAACACCTATGATCGAGAAACACACCTCACCTCACTAACCTCTAAGTACAAAAGTAAAACTGAAAAGAGAAAAATAAGCACTTCACCACCATGACAATAGGAGTTTAAGAAGGTAATATAGCAGAAGGCCCACACAGAGGTAGGAGCTATATCATTTACCCACAGGTACCTGGGTGTAATGCGACATGCGTCACTATGTGATTTACCTAAACTGGTGTACAGTAGGCAGGCAGTAAGTGTAGGCTTGTGTGTCAGACGGTAATTGTTGTTTGGATACAGGCTGGAAGAAGCTGAGTGTGAGGCAGCAGTTAGTCTGGTTTTAGCTAGAGGTGAACACACACACACACACACACACACACACACACACACACACACACACACACAGAGAGAGGTCTCAGATGGAGTTTGACTTGTCAGTTTTTCCCCACCTAGAATAAAACTGTTTATACATTAGATTCATATGTTCAGTTATTAACATGCACTCCAGGGTTTGAGCTCTTAAAACACAGAGAAGCAGTCGAAACTTTCTGATCGGTGGAGCTTTGTGGAGGCAGAGGATATATGTTATTGTATAATATTAATAAAAAGACATTACAATTAGTTAGATGGACGTTCAACATCCACGCTATGCTGTATATGTGTAGCAGAAAACACTGACACTATACCATAATCTTGCATGCTATATTTCAAATTTCATTTCATCTTGTGGTCTGTGGTTGGAAATGCAAATCTTTTGTTCTTTCTTGTTCTTTTATTTCTTTCTTCCAGGGTTGGTGCATTAATAATTCAATTAAGTCACATCTGTAATTCCTTTGTTAGACTTATAAGACATAAAATGGATTCCTTCCTTTATTTGATAGATTAATATAAATGTATATAAATAATAGCATCCCATCACCTCTGAAACTAAACATATGCCCGTGACAGCAATTAATTGGGGATTTACTGTTTGACCGATGTGTCATTTAATGTCAGAAACTTTGGATTAAAGCTGTTTCTGGTCTAGGTTTTGCATCAACATGGTCTTATACTAAATTTAAACTATTAAATGCTCTAGACTTATGCGATTTCTAGTGCTTCTGCATTTGAATTCATTCCTTGCAAACCGCAGTGTGACTCTAACCCTTTGTACTGATTAAATTTCTTTACGTTGCCATAAAGGCAACACATGACAGGTTTTACTGCACAGTTTAGAAACTAACAACACTGCAGTTGTAATGTAAAGTCATATTTTCACCATATCATATTAACAGCAGCCGATATCTGATTATTTTTTGTCAAAGGCCAATAGCAACTGCTTTGTGACCTGTTTTGGTGTAAAAGCACTTTTCAAGAAACCCTTCCACGTATACAGGATGTTTACAACCGTCAACTCTCTGACTTACTTACTTATTTGAAGGAATCAGGTTTGTCTTGATGTATAAAACTGCCACAAACCATCCCTCTTATTTGTGACTGTATGCAGAGTGGATCTAATCGATCATGGTATGTGCAGTCATTCATCAGTGAGCAGGCACCTCACATTCTGCCAACATCTGTTTGGATATCAGTGGTAACACCTGGCAGGTGATATAAATTTCATGGCAGGAATAACAAGAAAATGAGCTCCTCACCTAAAGACACACACTGTTATTGTAGTCAGAGTCTGAGTACTCGCACTGTGAAATCACAATATAGATAAGGGCTGTTGAAACATGCATTACACAAACTGACACAGCAGACTTTGATACAGTATATGTCAAATATAGATGTGTGAAGGCACGAGAAAGGGAAAATTAAAACCGGAGCTCTGGGGTCATTGTTTCTTAATGAAGTAAGGGTAATGTGCTTGTTTCTGCAAAGTAAATTTCCAAAACAGCTTTATGATTGAAACCGCATCTGAAATAAATGTACTTCTAACTAAACACTGGTTTATAGGTCTGTACTGTTTCCAAATAAAAGAATTAACTGTGTTTAGTTTGCTACCTTCACAGCCCAACAGGTTTAATGTCTTCTTAATGTTGAAATGTTCTATGGCACTGTGTTAACTCTTATAGAGCAGCATATTATCAAGATGTTAACTAATTATCACAATTTGTCCTGAACAAATTACTTAATTTATTGATAGTACCTTATTAATTCATGACTGACAATGTGGAGTCACACCCCAAGCTGAAAACTGCCCTTACTAGATTTTCAAGAGGATCAATCATACACATGGAATTCTTTATATACAGTATCATCATTCCTGAAAATGCAGCATGTCCTCTATGTGGATCCTTTGTCTGTGTTGCACTACAAATGTGCATGAGCAGATGGCAAAGTGCTGTGATTTTGGAGCTCATGGTAACATGGAAATAAATCTTACAGGAGCCAGGACAGTATCACACCGATGACTTACCCTGCTGCCTTTCTCAGGGTTGCACCTGCATCCTCTGCTGCAGTCCAGGCCTGCGCATGGCTCGTCAAACTCTGTGCCCTGAAGAAAATAAAAACAGAAAGAGATTACACAAAATGATCGGGAATTATATGTTCAAAATCAGATGTGTTGGTGATTAAATGTTGGAAAATTGTGGTTAGCAACAGAGAATAAAGCACACCTTTACATCTTTCAAGCAACTGTCTTTGTTTAAATCCCTTCGTGAATAAAAGATCAACCAAAGAGAGAGAGAGAACTGCAGCAGAAGATCACACAGATACTCAGGTAATGGCATGAGAAGTCTCTGTGAGGGATGAACAAGATGCTGGCTAATTTACAGTAATTTTAAATAAGTGAAGGGATTTAAAAAGGGATTTAGCAAAGGTTCAGATTCAGCCACAGCTGATTCTAGGTGTCGACTCATAAAACAAGAATTTTTCAAAGAGCAGAGCTCATTGTGTGCCCAAACATAACATGTAGCGTCACGTTCATAGTCAGTTGCATATGATACCTACATGTATTGAGTCATACTACCAATTCTCCAGTTTTACCATTAATTTATATCTTTATTATTTTAGTAAAGTGACATTACAATAAACAATTTGCAAATTTCTCATGGCTAATAAAATGGCATATTTGTTGGATTTGATCTTAATGGATCTGGGACATTTCACCTATTTCCAACCAGATCCAACATTGCAGAGGTCTGCGGAACATTTACTGTATGTAACCCAGCCACAAGTAAATGATACGAGCAAACAGTTCTGAATAACAGTTTAATAATGTCATAGGCTTTACAGTCTGTGTTGTCTCTGTCTCTCCTTCTCTCTCTTTTCTTCTTGCTCTCTCCTAAAGTCAAACTGGATTCAAAGCCAGATCTGATCTAGCAATTTGTGTTAAAGAGGATAAATTGAAACAAAATGAATTGTGGTGCTACTTCTACTATAGTTACTGCCACTTGCCCAAGGTGACAATATCAGTTACAACCTGAAAAACTTCAGACAGAAAAACTGTAGTGGAAAGAGAAAAGGAGAAAACACACAACCAGAAGAAAGCGAATTTGGCACAAAGCAGAGACAGAGATAAGGAGGGAAGAGGTCAGCGGTAGTGGTCCCGTCTTCCTCTGATCTCCACCACTCTTCTAATCACAATGACAGAAGGAGGACAAGAGAAGGAGACAGTGAGAGGGGGCTAATGGAGGGAGCAGGGATGGGAGAATGGGGGGG